GTTTGAAGCGATTGTTCACCAACACGTCCCACAACAGGTTTTGCAGAGGCGGACCGGTTTCCAAACACTCGTTGAGGGATGGATGGCTTTCTGATGCCTTAACCGAAGCATCGTAGACGATCCGTACTTTCGTAGTCTCCGCTGACTCTCTGACTACTGGTTTGTGCGGGATGTAGAACGTCCTTTCTTCCTTCCCTGGGTGATGGTCTTCGGCTCGCTCGATGATACCTTCCTCCAGCTGTTGTTGTATAATCCTGTCGTATTCATCCATTAGTTTGGGATTTTGTTGCAGCCTTCTCAGTAGGCTCTGTAGTCGTCGCTTGCTACCGTGTTCGTTTGTTGGAAGTGGTTTATGTCCGGGTTTCCATAGCAATCCGGTTTCATACCACCCTTGTTCTGTCTGGTCCAGTTGTTCAACAAACTCGTCGTAGCTGATCCCCGTCTGGCTTGTCGTCTAGTCCCAAGACGTCTAGATTGCAGAGTTGTGCGTAGTCGGCTGCTGACGATCTTGTGACAAATGCCTTTCCGAGTGGTGATTCCTTTCCGGGTGACATCATCGTCCACCCGAGGGCTGTACGCTCTGCAACCGGCTCTCCTGGATTTCCGACCCTTGGCTTTTCGTTCGTCTTTATGTATGAGTACTCGCTGGCTCCTAGTATCATGTGGATGGGTAGTTCGCTCTTTGGGTCGTTGTCTTCTATGGTCACTCCGTTCAAATGCTCATACTTCTGGATTACGTCTGCGTAACGCGGGTTTGGAACAGTCAGTAGAATACCCTTGTCGACTTTATTTACGGTCGTTTTCAGCTCAAACTTCCCTTCCACGCCCCTCACACTCAGTTCATAGACGCTTACACGCTGGGTCGTTGAACACATCATCATATCAATACGTTTATGCTCGGTGAGCACAGGTCGCTTGCCAATTCGCTGTATGAGTGCCGCCGATGCATAGGCGCCCCGGTATCAAGCAACGCTCTACATTGTATACCCTCTACGAGGACCACAACCACCGGGTAGATCACAGTTCCCTCCCCCGTGGCTAACATCATACGCTGGGGAGTGGGCTCCTTGTCACAGATGGACGTATGGTGTTTCCCCTCACATTTTTGACATGAATACTTGCTACGACATTCAGCTGCTCTATGCTTCGCKCCAGTGCAATTGAAGCAAAGTTTCTTAGTGGCTAAAAGTTTCTTTCGCTCAGTAACGTTATTTACGCGGTCACAATCAACAGACTTATGTTCACCTTCACAATACACACATGAAACAGCCTTGCTTAACCCCTCTCTTGTTTGGTAAACTCTCTCTCTCTTTTGATTGGGCTTGCGTGCTGAATTGTGTTCAGTAGGGAAACTAGCTCCTTTTTGATCCACTGCACTCAATGGGTTTCGCTCACACCACTTACGTATGGCCTCTACCAGCTGATGGAACTCCCACTCCTGCTCATCATCATCATCGTTCGGCTGTTGCACAGTYGACTACAAGACGATTCCAGTTGACCCGGTCTTGGGCATTTCGTAGAATGTCTGATTCGGTGAAATTGCCAGTTGGATCGATCCATTCCTTGACTTGCTTAGAGTACTCCTGCTAATTGTCATCTAATCTAACTAAGTCCGCTCTAATGGCGGGCAGTTTGTCTAGTGTTAGTCTGACGTAGCAATAGCCGTTTATTTCTTTTAGCTTCCCCATTGTTTCTAACGCGTGAACGCCATAAATCAGCTTTTCATAAAAATCATGAATTTTAGTGGCAGAGGATCCGGTTATACATGGCAATGACATTATACTCTGCATGTGAGCGTTTGCTACCTCACTAGGCTTTCCATACTTTGTTTTGAGGACATTTTTTGCTCGCTCCTACCCCTSGGTCGTGAATGGAAGGCCATCGATGTATACTCTTACGTTGGGTACGAGCAGTTCTTTAAGATATGACAACTTAGTAATGGCACTAACCTCTGTTTTGTCAATCTCCGCCTCAAATTGATTCCAAAACCGCATCCAGTCGATATGTGTTCCCTGGAATGGCGTTATGACTAGTTTGGGTAGCTTTGCTCGGCCTGATAGTGCTGCGTTGGGTGTTGATTTGGCGTTCTCGGCTTTGTGTTGTTCTTCCAGTTCGAATTGACGTTGTAACTTTGCCTCCTGAAGTTTGATTTCTTGGTCGAAAAGACGCTTCCGCTTTTCCTCTTCGATGCTTTCTTCCTCTTTGGCTACAATTCCAGTGATTTCCTTCGTAAGGGCTTCCGCCCCATCTTCATATTTGCTGAGTTTTCCTTGGAGTTCTTCGGTCCACTTGTGAACTTCCGTTGGATCGCCATCACTTTCTATTTTCACCGCTTGTAATTGARGTTTTGCTTCGTGGATTTTGTCGATTATGTTCTCTAAAGCATCCGCTTGTCTCCACATTGCTTTGACATCTCCTTGTTCCATGATACGACCATTATCATCAGACATAAAGGCCAAAACCTTGAATTTTCCGTTGATAAACTTCTCTAGCTCCGTGGCGRTCGCCATGTTGTTTACGCTTACTCACTACTGGAATTTGTATGTTAAACGCACCAAATCTTGTCCTGATTTGTCCTGGATTCTCCTGGTGTGTCCTGGCGTGGTCGCCACTTTGTGTCGTGAACTAAATTCCCGCCACAATTCGTTGTAATTCGTTTATTTT